ATACACTGCTCTGCATGCTAGTCCGTATAAGGATAAATAGCTATAGCTAAACCTCTATATTATCATAGATAAAAGCCTAAGGTCTTCCGATTTTAAAGTTCGTTTTCCCTATCCTATTAATCGCGGCGATAAATTTTTAGTTCAGTTTACTTTAGTGGTGTTTGACGCAGGGGGAGAAGGGCTTAAGACCCTCTCTAAGTCTCCCAGGGGGCATTGGCATAGGGCGTGCTAAGCTAAGTGATATGCACCCAACCCAGATAATAAAACCAAGTCATAAAGAGCGGTAGTCATGCTGATTCTTAGGCCATTGTGAAAATTTAAATCCCTCCGATCGCAGCGATAGAGAACGCATATATCTCTTAATTAATACTATTAGCCTCTACTATCCGCTAATATAATCGCGTATCTCTTTTATACGCATAGAAGTTATAGGTCACATGCATCCAGAAGATTTTGCTCAATTTATAGGGGTTACTGAGCGCATGCTTCTGATTTAATCAAGGTGGGAATAGAGGTATTGCTTGAGTAGTGCAAATGTGAGGAAGAGATATATGGCGATGGTGAGGTTAGTAATTGTAGGGTTATATTATGAAGAGTCTAGGTGGGAGGTGTTGATATGGTAGCCGTACTGCTATTTAGCATTATTGTAAGTTTTGAATGCGAGGCCGGAGAACTGAGACTTAAAAAGGACCCCTATATGTATCGTGACCCAGCCTATCACATGACCAGATCAGACCAGCTACCTAACATCCCATTATATCCATCCCATTATAATCGCTCTCAGTGCAGTACAGTGGCTTAATATTAATCGATCAATCAGGCAGGTTTGATACTTACAGTGCCTACTTCCCGACCTTGGATCGAAAAGCAATTAAAGTTGGAAATAATCTTTTCTTCTTCTTCTTCCGCTCTATAATATAGTTACTTACCAAACCAAGCCAAGTACCCTGTCCTGTAGCTAGGATTGCTGCATCTTGTATGGATGGATGGGCTCGAAGACTTCATGAAGATGACTGTCACGTGATACGGGACAGCGACGGTGGGGGTGGGGAGGAATATGGGAGATGGGGGTACGAATAGTGGCTATCAGAAGGCCTTAGGACTCGTGGAGATAAATTAATTAGGAGATCCATAGATAGATATACCTTTGCGTGAAATGGTGCTGGAAGTGTTGGGTATGTTTGCGGACCACGACTAGACGATCCTAGATAGGTATGTATATATACTAGCCACCTGATGTGTGGCACAATGGATCGATCAATCGCACAACACTTGCTATAATAAGAACACGCGGGGTTTGTTTGGTGTGTGTGTGTGTGTGTGAGAGAGAGAGAGAGAGAGAAAAACATGGATGTATATTTATTGCGAAACAAATCCATCGCCTGCGATAAAATTGTCTTCTCCAAAAACTGCATTATATCGTATGCCACTCCTTACTTGTCTTGCCTCAGAACCCAATTCGAGATTCCCAAGGTTATAAACGCCGTCTCAGATGCCAACGTATACAGTACATAACATATAAACGACACAATCGAAGAGCGAAGCCAAAAAAAAAAAGAAAATCCAATTACGCCGAAAACCCACGTGCACCCCATTTAGAACCAGGCTGCTTCAAGCCATCCTCCCAAATCAGATCATCTCTTCGCCTTCCCCTTGGACATCTTCGTCTTCGTCGCCTTTGGAATTCCGCACTCATCGGCCACGGTGACACCCCGACCTTCCGGTACCGCGCAATCCTCGCATGTCTCGCCCATGCGGATCGTTTGCCAGATATTCTTCTTCTTGCACGGTGTTTGTACGAGGCCACCGCGCGTACAGTATTTGCCGAGCGCATATGTTACATGTTTACATGTGTATTGGTGAGCGTACCAGTGGCACATGGTGAGGGATGAATCGAGGGGGTTTATTGAAGATAGGAAGGGAGGAGTGAGAGACGATTGTTCCGTGATGGCTGGCTGGTGTGAGACTGTGGTGAGCGGGGGATGTTGCTTGTGACTTGGATAGTGGGAGGAAGCGGACTCGGTGGATGGTAGTTCTGAGATATTGTAACTTGAAGGAGAGTGTACTGGTCAATGGCAACCTTGTGATGGGCTTCCTCGGCGTCACAAAGACATTCTTATAAGACTCTCCAGTTGGCCTCATCCCCTAAATCCATCCCCATCGTCATCAATCCCATATCTCATGTGAGAAGGCATCTCTGCTTGCACAGCATGGTTTCAAGACCTCCTTATCATACAATCTTTACCGATTGGACGCCATTTTGAATTTGTTTGCGATAACCCTCGCCTTGATAACGAACTGAAGCCTTTCAGCAGCAGCAACCAAACTGCCTCGCCGGTACAGCCTGTTTGCTTGCAGCGACTGGCCGCCTTCACCAGTAGACGAGGCTTCTGTGTGACAAACGAAGCTGGAATTGGCTTGTTCCACGTTTCAACAGAGAGAGAAGGCGAGTCTATCTCCAGGGATGGAGAAACGGGAAGAGCAATCAATATTTCCTCCAGCGGCTGATGTTGATCGAGACAGGGCTTCGCGCCTTGGGGAGCGGATATAGCCGGGGCTTGCTCTTTGTAGGGCTGAGGATTGAAGAGAGGTTCGGCAACTTGCCTGGATCATGATGGAATTCGCATCTGGGAAATGAGAAGATGACTTTGGAGTGCAAACGAATTCGGTGCTTCTTCCACAGGTATCTGCGCTGTCAAACGAAAGCAGAGGAAATTAAATTGTGTAACCACTTGGCACGTAATTATGTGCTGTACAAGATTTTCAATTCTTTCGAGCTCCTTAAGCCGAGACTTTTGAGAGTGAGAAGCAGTTTGAAGTCCATCTTGAAGCTTCGTGCTTGACGGGACAGTGCGGCCATGTTGAAATTCCTTTGACCTTCTGGAAGGATTATTTCAGGCCGGCTGGCTCGGTGCAGTGGTGGGCTTCCCTCCCATCCCATATGCAGGGGATCTCGCGTAAAGATCGAAATTTCAGGATCCCTCACCGCCAATTCGGACCAACGAACTGTTTGCCGACTTCCCCTTTGCATGTGTGGAAAAGGGGATGGGTGGATGGACGAAAGGGAGGCCGCATATTCGAAGACCAAGTGCGATTATTATTGAGTTAGGTTCGTGATGTGCTGGCACGATGGGGTGGGAGGAGGGGGAGGGGCTCTGGAATAGGGGAGGTTGGGCCAGAGCCAGTCTGATGGGAAGACGTTGGCATTAAAGTAACGAGGTGAGCCCTTTACTAATAAGAGGTTAGAGCACCCCGCCCTTTTGCCATGAATTCGCATCGGGCCTCTGCCTCTGCCTCTGGGCTTCCCACTAAATTTACCACTGGCTTACCAGAATGCGAGTGCGAGAGATGGCTGCTGAGTGATGGCGGCCCAGTCAGAGTGCTGAAACAGCTATTAGCCCTACACTGTACTGTCTGTAGGTACCTGGTGCGTGCATGAGCAGCCACTTAGCTGCATCACGCGGCGAGTGTTCGTCCCAAACAGATCATCGTGAGGCCATAAGGATGGCATAAGGGTTTTGAAAGTTGGTGAGGAAATAATGAGTAATGAATAAAAATATAAATAAGAACGAATAATGAAAGGAAGGCATTGCCAATAGTTGAAGCACACCAGAGCCAAGCCACGACGAGGTGGAGTGAGGACGACCAAAGTCCACTTCTGATTTCACTCACGCCAGTCCTCATACGGCAGACGCGCTTTCTCCGCCACACGGCACCAGTCTCTTTCTCTCTCACGCTCTCTCTCTCTCTCTCTCGGCGCTGCCACGTATCTTGCAGCTCCCATCAACGCCAATCCAGTACCAGTCCTAGTATGCACCTACAGCGGTCGTACATCTAGTCATTGCGCTGTGCATGCAGGAGGATATTATTATTTGGGGAAAATAAGTGGTCGCCGCATCTGCATAGAAATTATTTAGCATTTCTGTTGCTCTTGCCTTTTTGCTGTTCTGCTTGCTCTGCTTAATTTTGCTTTGTACTTTTTCGACTCTCGACGCGTCGCCGTCATAACACTCGTTCGGTCTATTGCTCGAGCTGCAAACGTGCAATCCGCTCGACTCTAGCATCAAATCGTGCGCATTTTCTTTCTAAAGCTCGTCCGGCGCGTTGGCCGCTCAATTGAGGCCCGGCCCGCTGTCATTGCGCTTTTCCCAGATTTCACTCACCTTCGCCCCCAGACCTGGTCGGTTCTTCCAGACCGCCTCGTGTCGTCTCGTGCCCACCTCAACTTCAAATCAAAACAAGTTCTGTCTTAGGTGTCGGTGCTGTCCATTGCGCCCTCTGCAAAAAAGTCGAAATGCTTTGTGCGAATTCCAGTCCATTGTTCGAAGGATTAAAGGGTTCGCGGCGTCCGTTTTCGTCTTGTTGTTAACAGCTGAATCAGAGTGGCCGTGGCCTCCATTCATCTACCATTGGCTCTCCGTGCTTTGGTCTATTCGCGCCTGGCCTTCCGCCTGTAATATAGTGGTCAGTCAAGCTTCAATTGGGTCCCAGCAGCCTTCGGCGCATCCAATGATCCTCTCAAGGCGTGTAAATGGTGCTATGTCTGACATTTCAGTAGTAATCTTGCAGCGTTGACATCGCTTGGGAGCTTTGAGGTGGCGGCGCAGTGGGGGACAATCTATAATTCGCAACGAATATATCCCGACTTTCTATTTACCTATAGCTTCTCGGTTCTGGATACTTTGGGTGTAGGAATTGCCGGTGATTTTGGGGAGTTTGGTGTGAGAGAAAGAGTCGCACAGTCGGGGAGAAAACGTGTCAGCTGCAATTTCAACGATACTATAGTTTTCGTCAAGAATTCGACGGGGCCTATACATTGACTGGCTCCACGATAATTCGACAGCAACACAGCAATATCGTCCCCACCAAAGAAGTGAATACGGCTACGTCGGCACCGCTCGAGCTAACAGGAAAGACTGCACTACTTTCCCACAGCAACTGGTTCATCCATCACCACCTGGCGTTCAAGCTGTCCTTGTCAAGACAAAACGCACGTCTCGATGGCGTCCTCTGAAGTGGACATGAAGTTCCTAGCTCAATTCGCAGCAAACATCCAACTCGACCATTCATTCCTAGCCAAAAATCTATTCCAGATCCTTGGCAACCTAACTATGCTCTCAGACAAAGTAATCCGCGCCAGGAAGCTCCGCCGACTCGATGTCACCCGCGACACCAAATCAGTCGACCTGTACTGCCGCATCATCTGGTACGCCAGGGAAGGACTCCGGCTCCTCGAAGAGTACATCTTACCTATGGTCGCAAATTTTGGGGTCTTAAAGGTACTCTCATACAAACTACGAGCAAGCTATTACCATCTATACGTGCTTTTCCACAATAACCCCAGTGTCTTGCTACGGGCTGGGCACGGGCAGCAGGGCCAGGTTCATACACCTCCTGGCTTGAAATCTCCCCGAGCAGCAAAAGCAGACAAGGGCAAGACGCCAGACCAAGACTCTCCAAGTAATCCCGTCAGACCGAGCTCAGTACAGCCTACGCATGCACTAGAAGGCGGTCCAGTGGGTGGAACAACAATGCAGCCACCACCAGAATTCACAGCCAATTTCCTCGTCCCGGCGCAAGACTACCGACCCATCGCCCTGCAATGTTTCCAAGAAGCATCCGCGCTATCAGAGAAGCTGCTCTGGGGCAGTCATCCAGTGCGTCTGTCGGTCAAAGTGGAGTTCTGCGCTTTCCTGTACGATTGTCTGCATGAGCGGGATAGCTCGCGACAGCTAGCCAAGGTGACGATCGCCGAGGTGTATAATGCGGGCGAGGGCATGGACGATGATATGTTTGAGGATGCGGCGGAGCTAGTGAATATCTTAGGGAGGATGGTGAGACGGGGTATGGGATCTGGTGGGAGCAGCACGCCTGGTGCTGGGAGTTCGGGGACGAAATTAACGCTTACGCCGCCGCGAGGGAAGGGGGTGGCTGGCAGTTCGCAGGGCACGATGCAGAGTCCAGGGATGGATAATCCGATTTGATGATTGATATATTCCGATGTTGAGGGGCTTTTGCATTATATGTTCTGTAATAAGAAGGGGAGAGAGACATGGCATTCGCATAGCATGGCATGGCATGGCGTGATGTGGCGTTTATATATATACTGTACTGTACATCAGAGGGGGCTTGCATGCATTATATGGTGGATACTTTGTTTATGTTTATACCCTTGAGCTTGCTTGTCAGCTCAACTGCGATTAGGGAGATTTAGTAAAAGCAGATAAACATTACTACTTGAGGAGTTTGCTTCTAAACAACAAGGACTTGTGAGTTGGGAAATTGTATGAAGAATTCTTTCTTGATTAATTGGTCTTCTGGATATCTTAAGTCGTATGCAGACATATCGTAGCTGCGAGGTTTCCTTTAAGGTCACTGCCTGATATTATTGTGAGAAGAGCATTTTTTGCCCCACGTACTTTTATATATCGTCATGAACCCCATGAATGATTCCCGCATCCCGCACTGCTTTTCATTTTTCTTTTCTTCTTCGCAACTTGTCAATTTCCCCTTTTCCGTATCTAGAACTCCACTAGATCCACCTCGACCTCCTAGCACTCACTCACTCACTCACACACACCATCCATCTACCTCTCTCCCCCCCGCCTCTCCCTCTCTCTACCATCCCCCTACCTCCCCCACCCCACCCCACCAAATCAAGCCAACCCATCCTCCCTAAACTTCCCCTCAATGATATACCACTCCACATTCCTGCCCGTGTAATTCATAAACCGCGCCTGGATATCCAGCCATTTATTCTCGCTGTACTGCCGCTCGATGGTCTCGAGCGTGTCGCAGTCTTCGGGCGTCCAGATGGCGTTGGGGCGCAGGTGCCGGGGGGGTTGTTGGGTGGGGTCTTGGAATGGGTTATTGGGGGGTGGGGGTGCGGGTTGTTGCCAGGAAGGGACTGGGGGTTGTGGTTGGAAGGAAGGGTTCTGAGCCTGCTGTTGTTGTTGCTGCTGTTGCTGTTGGAGTTCTTGCTGTTGGAGTTTCTGTTTTAGCCGTTGTTGCCATGTGTCTTGGAAGTAGTTTTGGTCTTGTGGCTGGTTTTGTGGTTGGTAACCGCCGCTGAATGGATCTTGTGCTTGATAGCCGTTATTATTAGAAGACTCCTGGTTCTGGTTCTGATTCTGATTCTGATTCTGATTCTGCGTCTGGTATGAGGTATTCTCCTGGAAATAGTTGCTCGGATCCGTAAAAGGATCTGGATTGACTGGTCCCCACGATGTATTATTGGTGTTCCAGTTCGACGGGTTATTATTATCTCTTTGGTATCCGCCGTTCAAGGCGCCGCTCATATCGTACTGCGAGGAATCCTGGTTGCGGTTCTGCAGAGTGTTAGATTCAGTTTGTTTCTTTTCCTTTTCCTTGACGCAGTCCGGACAAGTGGCACAGTCTTGACCGCCACCATCACCGTCTTGTTTTCCATCTGCATTTGAATCGGGGGTGTTGGTTTCTTGGACCTTTTGCTTGCCGTGCTCATTCTTTTTGTCTTTCTTGTGACTACTATCACCTCCTCCGCTGTATGATGGGTCCCATCCACCCGCTAGGAATGTGCTGGAGTCGGCCTGGGTACCGTTGCCATACCTCCCATAGTAATCCCATTCCAAGTCGCCGTTAGAATCGCCCTTTTTGCCATTACCACCACTACTGTCAAGTTCCTTGAACCGGTCCTTAACCTCGTTCTTGCTCGCATTGACAGCAGTTGCGATATCAGCCCAGCTCTTGCCGTTCTTCTTCATGCCCAAGATAGTCTTGTCCTGCTTCTTCGAGAACGTTTTGCCGTTACTGTCCTTCTCCTTGTCGCTACCATCCTTGTCCTTTCCGCCACTTTGAAGTTGTTCGAGTCTTGCCTTGATATCTTCCGGACTCGCCTTGACAGCCTTGCAGATATCGGGTTTGATCTGTAAGCCCTTCTTGCTCATAGCTAACATCGTCTTGTCTTCCTCTTTAGTGAACTCCCTCTCTCCTTTGCCATCACCACTTTTTTTCTTCTCCCCGCCCTCAGCGCCCTTACCATCTTCCTTCCCGCCCTTTTCGGGATCTTTTTTGCCAGAATCATCACCCTTGTTCTCGTCCTTCTTCTTGGAGGAGTCGGATTTGTCGGGCTTCAAAACCTTTTTCTTGACGATAATAATTTCATCATCATCAGACTACCTTGCAAGTTAGCTTCTATTCACTTCCTCTGACCCCTGGGGAAGGGGAAAAGCAAAAGTGACATACATCTTCAACATCGCTAATAGTTATCTTCTTCGAAATGATCTTCTTGGGTGTAAATGTCTGCTCGTGCGTCTTCTGTACAAGAGGTCCTCCGAGGGCGTAGCTCACGAGGGAGATCCTGGTTTTCTGGACTTTTTTGACGGGCTTGGGCGACATTTTCGAAAGTGCGATTGTTGGAATGGGTGGAGAATATATAGTCGACAGTGCGTGAGATATTTTGTTGGGTAGCAGAGAGCATTGAGCAAGGTCGATCTATCGGGGGAAGGAAGGTAAGAGTATTCTTAGAGGGTGAAGCAGAAGAGGGGGAAAAGACATCCGAAGGCGAAAGCAGATGGAAAGGCGGCTCGTGAGTTGCCTCTTAGTATTGTTCTTTACGTGTCGGCGATGATTTGACTTTTTGATCTACCGATGCTCAACATCATGCTCGACGGCATTCAAGTGAATGGATGTGGTGATGGATTCAATATGCGGCAGAATTGGTCGTCTTGATAAAGGTGTTCGCTAGAATAAACATATATTGACCTAGCTGTTTGAAGTCATAAGAGACATGACATTTCCACATATTTGTAGTTATTAGTCTTCGCACTCAGGCCTAACGTCTCACAATAGCACAAAATAAAAGACCGTCACGGAATATCAAAGAGCCTCGCAATTCAAGACAAAAACCAATACACGATAGCAAATAAGAAGAGGAAATTATACCCAGATAAAAGATACCTCTATCTGCCCCGCGTAGTATGAAAAACAAAAACGATACCTAGAAAGTATTTTACTTTCTAAAGTACCGAAACGACAATGCCATTCTTTGGACTTCTTTGAATTAGTGAACAAAAAACAAAAAAAATTGGGCCCACGGGGCTGATCCCCTTAGCAAAGGGCAACCCCGAACCAATGTTTGTGCAGACGCTTGCGCCAATGCATGTATGGTTTGTTTGTTAGAAATCTTTGCTTATTTGGAATTATATCTATTCAATATTTCGAATATCTTTGCCGAAGAAGCTCTTTGGCCTAGCTGCTTGTGACAAACCGAGTTTTGCAGTCAAGACGGGGATGGATGCACAAGAATAAGACGGGCTGGCTCTGGTTGACAGAATGTGGAGTCTACTTACTTTAACACTCCCACTGCGTAGTGGGTGTTAATCCATATTGAGCAATTGGGAGAGAGAGATCAGCTTCTCAGGCTGATGCTAGCTGTTGCGTCAAGAGTGATCATCGTTGTACAGCCGGAGCTGAGGAGTCTATATATCAAATCCGAAGTCAGCATGGTGGACGAATTGCATTCATTGCCGGTGAGCCCTCCGACTTCTCAAAGACCGGTCTGATCATTTTCGTTCTGCCTATTAGATGTATTCCTAGGAGTACGTTACATGTTAGGAAGAGAGCAATTCAAAGCTTTAGTATGTTAAGAATCATGAGGACTCCATACTATGCTTGCGTGGGATCCAAAGGGGACGTCATTAGTTCGTATCCTCACAAGTAACCTATGAGAGGACGATGTGTACTGATTCGGACCCCCTCAATCTGAACCTATGAGGTGATCTTGAGCCTGGCATTATTACGTCTGACATCGAACCCTAACAGGAAACCATGGCGTTAATGTACCCCGTTTATACCGTTCTTTCGTCATTTAGTTTTCATTGGGGCCAAATGCTTACACGTGAGACTGAGAATGTCACACTCCATCGTAAGATTTTCCTTCGCTGACGCCCATCCCATCATCCTGATTCCTGACCAAATTGTGCCGTACAATCAAGTACCTCGCTACCGGGAGTAGGATTCCATTACGAAGCCTGTGCTACGGGAATTCTAAGAATTGAATAGATGATGCTTAGCCGAGAGCTGTACCCCTGATCTGATTCAGCCTTATACCGGTACACCCACGAGGGCGATCGAATCGGAAGCATCGGACAGAATCCCAGTGGAAATTGAAATGCGTTTCAGCTGGGGAAACAAGCTTTTCGATAAGCAGAGTCAGACTGGTCTAGCCAATGAAAAGTCTCGCCCGTGTCAGGGAAAGCTTGAGTATGTTTGCTGTGGAGGAAATAAGTTTAGTACATAGGATGCAAATTGATGGCTTACGCAGTTTGACGGAACGTTGCGTTCGCAATTCAGATTGAAAGTTTACATGCTTCATCGAAGTTTGTGGTTCGCCTACAGCCTGCTGTCTGTCGTTGATGCGAACAAAATAGGTAGAGAGCGGCGAGATTATATCGCGCTCGACACTTGACTAGGTAAAGTAAGTATTCTAGACTTAAGGGTTATACATTGACGATTCATGCCTGAGGGTGTAAAACCCGGGCGTGGAATGTGCTGATTCCGTCTTACAACATTCCTCCATCCACAACCTCATGTCACACAAATAACCACTTCACTGGATACGAGTATGAACTGACAGGGATGCTCTCATTACGCCGACGGATGATTTCTTTGCTCACTTTTTACGAAGGGGCTGATCCTTCAGACCTGATGATAAACATATAAGAGACTGAAATGTGTGCAGTCTCCCACTCAGACCAATACACTCAGATCAACAAGAGATTAGTAACTCTTTCTCAAAGATAAAAATATGATCAACACAAAGAACATTCTCGCCATCATTGCACTGGCTTCGTTGAGGTAATATAGCTTTCAGGTGCTCAGAACTTCTGGCACTTCTAATACCTCTGTATAAGATCGGGTCTGACAGCTCTGGTAGTCTCGCCCATCCAGGAAAGAGAGATGACGAACACATCACACTCGGCCCTGGGCCCGTTGTTCCCAGCGGCTGCTACACCGCAACCACGACCCTCCCTTTCACCGGGCAGAGTACGTCTAAGCACTGTGCACAGATCAAAACTAATGAGCTGCAGTAAATTGCCCAGTGCAGCCAGTTTGTGGACCTTACCCAGACTGTATCTTGCACAAAGAGATCACCGCCTTAGTACCTTGCAAGAACGACAAGTGCCCCGTCACCCCAACTGCGACGGTCACAGCATCCGGGACTTGCCCAACGTGTCAGACCGGATGCGCGACGGTCTTTGCGACGACTACTGCTACCACTGGATGCTCGACGACTAGCAGTGTCACCACACCAATTTATTATTAGGTGAAGAGATACACTACTATAGTCTAAACTCCATTTCTGGTGACAAATCAACCACCGCTTAAGGGAAGAAAGATGTCGAGAAATGTTGCCATTCCTTTTAGTTCGTTTGTTGTTTAGGAAAGCTTGTCTTTCTTGGGCAAGGATGCATTTGTTTAGGTATTTGGGGTAGGAATACAGGACTACTATAGAAAAAGTCGGAGGGATGACAATTGAAAAAGGCTTTTTGACTTCGCGCTGCTTCTCACGCATGGCTTCGAGTGTAAACATCCAGCACCAATGACAATTTGAATTCTGACGAAACTGCCAAAGATTTTCATAGCCAATGCTTCTTTGCCAACTGACTGTTTAATTGGGAAGTCTTGATGTGACGTGTTCTCGGACTCGAGACGAGACTACTCGTCATGAACCCTGGGTAGCTATATGACTCAAGACAAGCCAAGTGAGGACTACGATGCAATCAGAAAAGCAGATAAGAGAATTGCAACGAGTGAAAGAAATGGAATAAAATTAGAGAGGGTGAGTGAGCAAGACGGTTGAAAGATTGTCGGTGAGCCTAAATAAGAAGGACTATCACGTGTGAGCGACGCTAAAATTCCCCGCAACGCACATTTAAATCTCGCGAAGTTCTTTGAAGGAAATTTAACGATAACAAATACGCAAATCCTCACCATTAGAATACCCAAAATTCTACTGGAAGACTGTCATCATGTCGAAAATCACAGTCGGTATGCAATCCCTTTACTCCGCTCCCTCGTGCCGTTCAAGACGAACAACTGCTAATAAGTTTGCCACAGCCGGAGTGCGTACCAACGTCCAGAGTCTCCTTGAGTACTCTCTCGAAACCAAGAAGAGGAACTTCCTCGAAACCGTCGAGCTCCAAATCGGCCTCAAGAACTACGATCCCCAGCGTGACAAGCGTTTCTCCGGAACTGTCCGTCTGCCAGTTGTCCCCCGTCCTGGCATGAGCATCTGGTACGTCAATTGAGATGGATACAGGGAGGATTGCGATGGATGGGTTTCAGCTAACACGAGCACAGCATTCTCGGTGACCAGCATGATATCGACCGTGCCAAGCACGGTGGAATCGATGCCATGTCTTCTGACGATTTGAAGAAGCTCAACAAGAACAAGAAGTTGATCAAGAAGCTTGCCCGCAAGTACGATGCCTTCGTCGCTTCCGACACTCTTATCAAGCAGATTCCTCGTCTCTTGGGTCCCGGTCTTTCCAAGGGTAGGTCTCTTATTATCTTAGTTCTACGAGTGCAAGCTAATTCTTCGTAGCTGGTAAATTCCCCACCCCAGTCTCCCACAACGAGGATTTGAGCAACAAGATCAACGAAGTCAAGTCGACCATCAAGTTCCAGTTGAAGAAGGTCTTGTGTATGGGTGTCGCTGTCGGAAACGTGGGTATGACTGAGGACCAGCTGATCTCTAACATCATGTTGGCCATCAACTACCTCGTTTCTCTCTTGAAGAAGGGATGGCAAAACGTTGGCAGCTTGACCATCAAGGCATCTATGTCTCCCCCCAAGCGCCTCTACTAGATTATGGACCTGTTGTTACGCACTCTTTGGTGAGATGCCTACACAGAACGGCGAACATTGTTTGTAGCTAGCTAGATTCAGAATCCACAACCATGCAATGTCCATACTCCCCTACACGTTGTGATACGGTATGACAAGCCAAACCGTGAATATGCAATGTCCATGTAAATTGTAGGGCCTATGGAGTACATAAGATATGCTCGTCTTGAACCCCGTCGGACAAATCTTAAGGAGACATTTCTGGGTTGCATACCCACCATATACTCGGGCCATCAAGATCACCGAATGGCAGACATAGTAACACAGAATGTCTACGACGTTGTCGAATGCATGCACATGGATGGGACATGTTCACGATGACGATTCAAAGGACAAGCACGAGAAGAGCGAGCCCAGCTCTCCTAAAGAATCCGAACTCTACACAGCAGAGCACAGCACAGCACACACACAATACACAACATCTCAACCCGAGCATCATCTCCATATCCACATCTGATCCTTGATCCAATCTCACCCCTTTCATTCATTACTGCCCGTGTCTACAAGTATAACATGGTATCATTCAGACAAAGATATGTCGATGCGGCCCCACAGTCAACGTCCAAGAGTATCGGCGTCGTCGGCTGGTAGGAAAGAGCTGCACCTTTGATCGAGGGAGCCGGGAACGGAGGAAAACCCATTTGTGTTCTTGCTTGCGCAAGAACCGCGAATAACCCTCAGCAGCCACCGTAGTGGAGCACCCAGTGTAAAAATGTTATAAGTATTAATTATAACCTCTACTGATGATGGAGAAGAAAAGAGGATTTTGCCAAAGGCAAGCGAAGGTTTTAAAGCAGATTTTCTGTTAGCGTGGTGGTGTGGGGTTACGTAATGTGTCGCGTGACTTGTGGCTCCACATTTATAAGGAACGGTTGTTTGGAGTTAGAGCAAACTGCATGAATTGGGGGGAAGGAGATAAGCGAGAGAGAGCGAGTCGGACTGGAGTCTGGAGTGAAAGTGAAAGCAAGAGCACAATGTTACGGCAGTCCGAAGACTCGACATCTAACCTGCATCTGCATGACGAGAATTCAAGAGCATGTCAATATAATAACCTCTCAGAGCTGACAGTATGCAGCATGCAGCATGCCGTTGAAACATCCCATATCCAAGTCCAGTCCAGTCCACGTTGTACTCGTACTGCCTCGCAAGCTTCCCCAGAACCAGCCTTATGGCTCCTCCGATGTACAGGGTAATGTACCGCTACATGCACGCGGCTCATTTGATTGTGGTCTTGACTCTTGGGATGAAAATGAAAATGAAAATGAAGCTTGACTCTCTGGAGTTCCTCTTGGGTAAGGGAATAACGTAATCTTTAGTGCGGGTCCGGTCCAGCAGTACGTAAATGTACAGTACGGCACAGCCAGACTTGAACTTTTCTTCCGAAGTTCGAACGACGGTTAGTGCAGGGGCGTCATTTGCATTTGCATCTTGCTCATCCAGGTTTCGATACACACACACATCTGAAAAGTACATACATACCTACCCCCCTGTGAATGCCCTTCACCATGTACTGTGACGCCCCGTCTTCCCCTTCTTACTAATTCAACTTGCATGCTGTGATGGACGACAGGGGCTTGCTACTCTTTCCCTTATACAGTCGAATGTCCCTCCCACCTTTGCAGCAGTCTTTGGTTTTCTGCTTTTCTGCCTTGCTCCATATTTTGGACTCTCCCATAGTCTTATAATCTTCCTTCACTATGTCTCTCGAAACTCCTCTAAAAATAGGGGTTGCTCCCAGGGGCAATACAGCTAGATCAAGTCATCTCAGTGACAATAAGAATAATACTTCTTCAACTTCCACACCTCTTTCCAATTCTCACCATGATGTTTTGGGTCATGTCAACGAAGGTGCCCTCACGGCAGCGTGCCAGGAAGAAATCACGAGGACCTCGACCCTCGGACCTCGGAAGGAAGAAAGACAACAACAGGGAAACCTATCCCCTGCTGTCGAAGAGTCCGCCGAATCTAGGCTCGAGCGTTTGGGGAGGCAGAGACCAGAGGCTTTTGACTCGATCTGGGCCGAAATCGGGTTTGTCTTCTCCATATCCATGTCACAGGTCCTGTCCGTAAGTCAACATGAACCCTCCAATGGCTACCGAGCAATTGCTAATGACTACCAGGAATACTTTGTGTCTGGATTTACTGTCATTCTGCCCACTCTAGTCACAGACTTGCACATCCCAGCTGCCTCCTCAACATGGCCAGCAAGTGCCTTCTCATTGACCGTTGCGTCTTTCCTCCTGATCTTTGGGAGGGTAGCTGATATGAAAGGAGGCTACCCTGTATACGTCGCTGGACTTGCCTGGCTTACCCTTTGGAGTTTGATTGCTGGCTTCTCTGTCAACGATATCATGCTCAACTTCTGTCGTGCGCTTCAGGGGCTCGGCCCGGCTGCATTCCTGCCCTCCAGTATCATGATCCTCGGAAGTACCTACCGACCTGGTCCGAGGAAGAATCTTGTTTTTAGTATATATGGCTCTTGTGCCGCAACAGGATTCTTTGTAAGTCCCTGCACCTATTTCTAATGTAAAGGGGTAATGCTAACTAAAGTCTTCCCTTGGCACAGATTGGTATATTTTTCGCTGGAGTGGCTGCCGAGTACACTAGATGGGGATGGTACTTTTGGATCGGCACGATATTGACAGCCATTACAGCCTTAACGTCATATCTTTGCATACCTTCCGATATCACGGAGAAGCGAAATGCGCCTATTCAGCCTAAGATGGATTGGCTCGGTGGGGCACTTATTGTTTGCGGCTTGATCCTGTTTACATTCGCGCTGATCGATTCCTCGCACGCCCCGCAACAGTGGAAGACGCCTTATATCTACGTTCTGTTCATCGTCGGCTCGTTGTTGCTTCTCTGCGCCGCATACGTCGAGACATTCGTCGCCTCCCAACCGCTCCTGCCAGCCTCGCTATTCAAAGTCCCCCGCATGCCAGCTCTCATCTTCGCTCTGCTGCTCACCTACGGATCCCTAGGTATCTTCCTCCTGTACACCACCTTCTACATGGAGAACATCATGGGCGCGACTCCTCTCCAGGTAGTAGCCTGGTACGTGCCCATGGCTCTCGGCGGCTGCATGATCGCCACGTTCGGCGGCTTCGTCCTGCACCTCCTCCCCGGAACAGTCCTGATAACCATCGCCGGCGTATCCTGGATCATTGCACCCCTACTATTCGCCATCGCGCCCCAGGGCGCCAGCTACTGGGCCTACATATTCCCCGCCATGATCTGCGCCACCGTCGGCATCGACATCACGTTCAACGTAGCCAATATCTTCATCACGACTTCGCTTCCGCGGAAACAGCAAGGGCTGGCAGGCGCGGTGATCATGCTGCTGCTGCATCTTGGCATAGCTGTCTTCCTTGGATTCGGGGATATCGTGAATACGTATACGGTGGCGAGACTGGGGGCGCGCGAGAGCTATCATGCGGTGTTTTGGTTTGAGGTTGCGTGTGCGGCTGTGGCGTTGACTATACTGGTGCTTTTTGTGAAGATTAAGAAGGCGGAGAGCGAGCTGACTGTGGAGGAGAGGGAGGAGATGGAAGTGATGGAAGCGATGGCTGGTAACAATACGGTGGAGAAAGAGGGTGGGGGGAATAAGCCTACGGATGGCAGTGGTAAAGAAGGAAGAGAGGACGCTGAGGCTGGCTTATGACATATAGATACGATATAAGATTAGAGGTAGAGGTAGATACAGATACCCAATTCAATGCTTTTATTTAGCCCCCAGCAGAGGAGGTTGCTATTCCCAGGGGTAATAAGATAAGTATCTATATGCTAGCCACCTCTCGGAACACCCGAAATACCGTACTCGTACGTCCAGACTCCTTTCAGTAAAGCACTATAATCAATCCAGTCTACTAGAACAACCCTTTATTACCCACCTATCCACACACCAAAACACCCTTTTAACCAGTCAGTCTTTTTTCTCTCTCTCTCGTATCACGTGCTGTACATGCATATATATATCTTTCAGCCGGATGTCTCGTTCATTTCCTCTAAAAGGCCACTGTTTCTCTATTCGACATATATCCATCCCCACAGTCTAAGACTCATGCAGATTCCCTAATATCTTACCTTACCTACTCATCCATACCCCGGAAATACAGCGAGCGAGCGGCTCGGTCGGGGTCGGGTATCAATTAGGCTTTCGGGTACTACCTATAGCGCAAAGCAAGGCAAGGCAAGGCAAGGCAAGGCAAGGCAAGGCAAGGCAAAGCTACCTAGACCCCGCAATCGAGATATGCTATTGTTGGAATCACTACTGTAGGTAGGTAGGCACGTATGTACTTAAAACTCCTTGATATTAGACGTAGCTGTACAGTTCACGTACGGCGTGGCATGGCTGGACGAGGCGGGTGTGGATGGAGATGTGGATGCGCATGGGGAGTGAGTGTGCTGGAGACGTGCGTGCGAGTATGGCTGTTGCGTTGCTGTGTGGCAGGGAGCTGTGGGTGGGTATATGAATGATGAGGGGGAGGGGCAGGGGGTTGCTGGAAGTAAGGTAAGGGACGGTTAGGAGTAGTTTTCCTATACTAGGTATGCTTGCTATAGTCAATGAAACTCCGTTTCTTTCTTCCAGAATACAATTTGCATTTGCCTATGAGTATGAGTAGGAGTAGAGAGGGTTTATTTGTATATAACTGGCTTTATATGAATGGATGGATGGATTCAATAACAAACTCATCAACTAAATCAATCATACAGAAGCGTACGTACCGTGTACCTGGGGACTTACTCCGTATAAATCCAAATCCAATTTCCAGGGGCGTATAAAGTTTAGCATAGCAGAGAAAAGAAAGAGGAGCGCTCCACTCCGCAATGTGAAATTGAAGAGAAGGAAATGGATTAATGATTTTAGAAAAATTTCTCATGTTACCTTACCTATGTAACTTACGTCACAAGAGCAGCTACTCCTACTTACCTAGGGTAGCGCCGCGCCGTTGGATAGTTATAGTGGGGACACTAAGACTGGAGGATGAGTGCGGAAGAGGCTGATAAGTACAAGTAGAATATAAGTGGGGGTTTGGAATAATAGATAGCGGGTATTAGATGTGAGAGAGAGCGAGGGAGGGAGAAAGTGAAACTATCCACAGAAATCATTTTCACAGTAATAAAAACGCCACACCTGATCATAATTACTTTACTTCATTATATCTACTATTAACTCTTACAATCCTTCGTCACTCTCCACGCAGCCAAGCCTCTCCTGCCTATAACTCTCTTCAGGGTAGCCCAGAACCCATCGTCCCCGAACTCTAGATCATCCAGATTCAGATGTTGTGTATGCCGCCACACCTCCTGGAAATGCAGATGTCCGTCCGTTTTCGGAACATAGATGTCTAGAAATGTCGCGGATAGGGGCGCGATCAGATACGTCCCTTCTTTCTCCTCTAGATATGCCGTAGCGTTCGTAGAAGGCTTATGACACGTCGCTAGCGCCCCGACTTCCCTCAGCATCGATGGGCCTTTCATACCCATAATATCATGAGTCCTCAAGACCTCATTCTTCCCATTCAAGAGCCATATGGGTGGACTATAAGTCTTCCACCAAATCGCCTGCGTCGCATCTGGTTGTTTGCTCAAGAAGACTTGAGTAGGAATGATGCCTCCTTGATGGTACACGCCCATCAGGAGGCCGAAAATTACATTAAAAGCAATCCAGAGACCGGCCCAGATGCGCAAGTGTGTTTGGTTTTTTGGTAGTTGTACAGAGGAGAGTATTAGTGGTACTGTTGGGAGGAGGAAACGCGCCTCCTGGTGCTGGAATATAGAAAGAACGAAGACGCCTGATATTGCGGAGTACAGGCGCAGAGATAGATGTGGGCGGAAGAAAATGAGGAGGGCTGCTGGGCCAATGAGGAGTGGGAGATTGAAGAGGACGTGTTGATACCATGGGTGTAAGCCATGTGTAGCAAGATTGCTTGCTTGAAGGTTGTATTTGAGATTGTTGAGAGGAGTGATTGTGGGATGTGAGAATAGGTAGGACCAGGTGATTGAGTGATCGGTGTAGAAAGTGGTGTCCAAGTAAATCGCAACAAAGCTAGTAAGAAGGGCTGAAAGTACTGCAGCAATTAAAGCAAGAGGTCTGTAGATTGGTAAGTAATTGATTTCTAGGACAGGGCTGGAGGGACAAACTTCTTGAAAAAATGGGGTATCAAACGAAGGGCAGGTATTAGAAGAAATGCGGGGAAGGTGATTCGGTTGAAGATTCCGAAAACTACAACAAAGGCAAGAATAGCTGATGCGAAGGAATTTGATCTCTGCTGCGCGACTTAGCATGATTCTCAAGCTTCAGAGGAACCCTTACCTTGTTTTCCGTGATCCTCTGAATTAAAACGAGACTCCAGGCCACAGCAAGAGTCTCTATAGAATTCGAGAATGTATGCGTCTGATATGTCCAGGTAACGTAAGAGGATGCGACAAGGATAACCGCGATTTTCCGGTGCCGTGGGGATTGAACCAGTTCATGAATTGCCCAGTCTTCCAGCACAAAGCTTAACACAAACATCAAGACTCGTAAGGTCCAGAAGACAACGACCGGTGGTATCTCCCCATCATTTCCATTCCCTATCCACAACCATCTGAGGAGGAGCATCGGCGGACCGTAAACAGGCCATAATGGAAAGACGCTTCGAATTGGATCGTCCGAGGTAAACTCCCAGGTTAATCGGACAGGATAACTGAAGATTTGGCCTGCGTAGAAGCGTCAGTAGATGAGCCGTGATTTGATGGAACAAGCAAAATATAGAAGTCAACGTGGCAGCGTTCCCGCATGCGCTCGGCGCAATCCCAAGGCGCACATGCACTTTGCAGATGTGCAAAGGAACTGCAGAGCTTCTGGAGCAGCATTGAAGACCTGTCACATACCTGCGATGACCTCGGGGCCTTGGAAGTTTTCATCGGGGTGAAGATAACTCGGCGATAAAGCAAAATAGAGACGGACGAGAACGAGAAACAGATAAGTGCGCCTCCACATATTGTTGAACTATGGCATTCGAATGGCGCATTGGCAGAAAGGCATCCGAATGGGGGGAGGGAGAAGGAGAGTTTTAAATAAGAGCATTTGTAGAAGTTGATGCTTGGTCACAATAAAACAATACAGCCGGAAACAGCTTTGCCAGTCGCGTTTCTTGTCACGCTATTGCAGGGATGAGGCTGACGGAAGTCAACGCTTTCGGACTTGGCTTGGGAAGTTCAGGGGCTTTTCACGAAGTCATTATTGTATGATTAAGATTATGCTCACTCACTCAGGATTGATTAAAATGCGCGAAATAATAGCTACAGTGGGGGATTTAGAAATAAAGAAGAAGAAGAAGAAGAAGAAGAAGGGAAGATTTAAAAACCAATGATGGTACTTGTGTTTGTCAGACTTGCAAGATCTCTCTCTGTCCAAGCTAAGTAAGCTACAGTAAGCTACAGTACAGTAAGCTAGGTCGGTAACCAAGATAAGGAAGGCATGGCATGCGAGCTCTTCAAGCGTGCAGCATCGCAAGCCAAGGCAAGGCTGGGCTGCCTCGAGGCTGCTTTCGGCCGAAGGTTTCTTTACTTTAGACTTTGGCCAGCCTTGACCTCGTCTCGTGATGAGAAGTTGGCTTACCTAAGCCGGAACAATCTAGCTTACCTAAGCCGGAGTGGAGGCAGCTGGTGGCAGGGAATCACGACACAAGGCTGAATGAGAAGAGAGAGAGAGGGAGAGAGTCAAAGTGGAGCTGCTACCTAATTGTCGTTTGTCGATATCAAACATTGACGTACTGTACTATACCTAGTCTCATTGACAGGAGGATTGAAGTTCTGCCTGAAAATTGGTGGTATCAATTTAGTTCTACTTCTACGTCGACTTATTAAATCCTCATAGTTCTCGCACTTTCAACCACTTAGTCTTGCGTAAAAGCATAATAATATGATGCTGATTTCCATCGCACCATTGTATTCGCCTTGACGTGAATATATCCTGATTGCAAACAGCCAATCCTTTGATTCACAAATGCCATTAATAGAAGTCTCAAATTCACACCCCGAGTCCCCATCCAGTCCAGTCATATCGGCCTGCGGTCGCCTAAGTGGAACAAAGGCACCAACGCGCGCTACTGTACTTAAGGTTCCCGCGACCTCCTACAAATCCCTCCTTCCTCCACATCCATTTCCCAACCCACCACGACTCTTGACCACCACATCGCACATCTTGAACCAGTACCTACAAGAACCTTTACGCACGAAACTAACCTACATCACTCGACATGTCTTCTACCGACGACCAGACCATCACCCTCGTCAGCAATGACAACGTCTCGATCCCCGTCGGTGAGTGCCCCGCCTCGCTCGTGCAGAGCAGCAAAACTGACCTTTTCCGCAGCCCTCAAGGTCGCTGAGCGCTCCATGCTCATCAAGAACATGCTTGAGGATATAGGAGAGAGTGCGATGGAGTCGCCCATTCCCATTCCCAATGTACGTACCCCGCCTTCCAGCTTCATTTTGCCTGAAGCTGCAGTTCACTGACGCATTCACCCACAGGTAAATGAGCAAGTCCTCAAGAAGGTTATCGAGTGGTGCGAGCACCACAAGGACGACCCAGCCACCGCTGCCGACGACGATTCCGACTCCCGCAAGAAGACAACCGACATCGAGGAGTGGGACCAGAAGTTCATGCAAGTGGACCAAGAGATGCTTTTTGAGATCATTCTCGTAAGTATTCCCCGCACTTCTACCAATCATATTGAATTCTAACCGGTTATCACAGGCATCAAACTACCTAGACATCAAGCCTCTGTTGGATGTAGGATGCAAGACTGTTGCAAACATGATTAAGGGAAAGTCGCCTGAGGAGATCCGAAAGACATTCAACATCACCAACGACTTCACCCCCGAGGAGGAGGAGCAGATCCGCCGCGAGAACGAGTGGGCTGAGGACCGTTAAGCTGGTCGGACTTCTGTGAATGTGAGGACGACACCGGGGCACAGTTCACCTGACTGGCGAACGATCTCGCATTCACATCTGTGCAGCTTTTCGTTTTCTTGCACGCATCCATCAAGTGTCCAATATGTCCATTGGCTATCTGCCTACGGATGGCACTTGAATTCTCTCACAATCACGGCCTATAAACGTGTCGTTGGTAGTGCTTACCTTGACATACCTTTCCTTTCTCTGGTCATCTGGGCGTGTGGCATGGCGTTAATGGTTTCCGATCTGGGGCCTGCGGAGGGTGGCCTCTTCCTAGGAAATCCTCTTAGAGTGTAGATAGCCCATCAAAATCAAAAAGAGTGCAAAAAATTGCTCGATTGCTTTATGATATTTGTTTGCGACAGGCAATGAGGTGGTGTATACCTTGGCAGCTCATGATAAATTATTCTTCGGCTTGCTTGAGGTTCCCTTCATAAATGGGCCATTCAGCAAGTAGCTATTTGTCACTCACCAACTTCCAAACTCTTCATACTAAGTCCCCTTCCACCATGTCTATCAATCAATGCTAACGCACCATCTAACATCTCCTTCATAATCTCCAAACCAAACCAAACCACACCAAACACTACCATTCATCGTACCCCACCCGACCTTCCCATCAAAGCTACAAGCCAAGTTCCATCCTACTGTTATACCGCAGTAGTCAAGATCCAGGTACATGAACGGACAGTGCATCTCTCTCTCTCTCTGGTGTCAGGAATCTAAACCACCCACCCACTCACCCATCCATCTATCTATCTATCCGCCTTGTGAGATATTGCCAGCCTCGTGAGGAGTCCCTAGCTATAGGCGGTAGGTAAGATGATGATAAAGAGCGTAACGACTGGTCTTATTCACAAGTATCGCAGAACCGTGGCAGTTTTTCTCTTTTCGGGAGTGCGGGGTTGTAAATGACTTGCTTGTTTTGGGGGGTTTTTCATTCGCGGAAGTTGGGTTTGCGGGTTGTAGGAGGGGATATTGAGGGGTGGGGTGTGGGAAGTAGATAGATGGGTTTCTGTAGGTAGGATGAGTGTGTGTGTGTGTGTGTGTTTGGAGGGGACTGGAAGGAGTGAGTAAAGGACTTGTGGTATTTTTCAGAACGGTTATATACATGTTTTTTTTTGGGGGGGGGGGGAGATGAACTGCTGTTATGTGTTTTATCCACTCATTAGCTTAGCCCTTCATTGTTCACGAGGTAGGCGTTGTTTCTCTGTGTGTGTGTTTGTTCATTCGCGGTTGTATGGACGGATTGGGCGGGAGAGGAGATGATATAGCATGAAGAGGATCGATCCTTCCTGGAAGCATTTCGACGTTGGCATGGCACTGCCCCTGGATCTTTCTTTGCTCGTGGTTTACTCGTTGGTGAACAGAGGAGAGGAACGGGGGGTGGTTTAATTTATATAGGAATAGACGAAGGGAGGAGTAGCTAGGCAAGGAAGCGGCTGGGTTGAAGAGGGGACAGACGTGTTTAGGTAGTTTTATGAAAATCCGCATGGCGGGCGGTTCTGGTTCTGGACCTGGATGATTTGAGACTTTGTGGTTTGGTGGTGGGGGAATGTGGGTGTGTGGGAGGAGGTAGGTGGGTGAGGGATTTGTGATTTTGAGGAACTGAAGATTGTGAAAAGAGCTATGCTGTATGGTGGGAGAATGACTGGACTTCGGTGCCGCTGTTTCAGCTCAGCTGTTGAACAACATGGTGCCAGTTCCTTGGTAGGGACTTCGCGGGAAGATAGAATGAACTGTAGTACAACTCGAGGGCCGGCAAATAAACGCAGAGTAACGGGAAATTGAAAATCAGAAAGGAACATGGGCCAGCTTTGACGTTCCGGTTCATATGAAGTCCTCTTCGGTACTATAACTTATAAACACATTGGCACAGGGACTATGTTCGTAGAAGATTGTCAGGAGGAAGCCTTCAATTCGTGATGCTCTGCTCAATGCTGAATCCATAGCAAGTTTACGCCACTCCCAAATCCATCCATCCGTATCCCACTTCCCATCCACCACCAACCATCTCACTTCAGGAATCCCAGCATATCCACCCACACATTGATGTTGTTCGTTATAAGGCGAAGACGGAGAAGGACGAGTGATGATGTTGTATGAGGGGTGATCCGTTCAGATACCGATGCGAGTCTTACGCCAATGTCTCCTCTTCGCGTTGTATCTATTTCACAGTCAGTCTACAAGTCCCTCAATTCTTGTGCCCAATGTCCTCCCCTGCTATTGTCGCAGTGCCGAAGAAGTCGCGCGAGGGGTCGTTGGTAGAGGGGGATAATTACCTGATGGTGTTGCCAGTCCTCAATCGAATCCATTGCGGGATAGGTCTGTTTTGCTTTTGGGCTCTCGCAAGCTTTTGCTTGGTACGGAATGACTTGTGACTCTGTTGGACAATCTCATCAGCGTTTGACCTCTTGCATCAATCAACTCTTCATCATCGCGCCCTCATCCCCTCGTAATCCATAATCGAATCTCTGGATCCCATTCAAGGATCGCAAGGGTAGGGCGCTGTGAGAAGGAGGAAGTACGTACCGGCATCGTGACGGTTGTCGTTGGTGTCGAAGTCGTTTCTGCTTTGCAAGTTCAAGATCGATCATCAAAAAATCAAAGTCGTAGAATTTGGCGAGCGATGTGTGCGACACGTGATCAGCCTCGCACCCGATACGCTTGGCCGCTTTTGGAAGTGCTTAAAAGGTGGAGCTCGGGCCATGCGCGAGCATCACACGCGATCCGGAGGTAGAACTGGTTGCAATACATTTTGTCCTTGAGAAACCAAAACATCAAACACTTCAAAAACAACATTTGCAAAGTTAAAGGCATCAAATACGCAACTACAGAATCTGCGAGAGTCCCACGGTCTCACTTTATCCAAGGAAACTCCAAGGAAGAAGTTTGGTTGAAGGGAAAGAAAGGGGCGCTTTTATTCCTGGGCGGAAAGTAAGGACAGTTGTGCAGCAAAGATGGGTGCAAGTGTATCGTGGTTATCAGGAATGTTGTGGTCGAAGAAGGAGATTAGGATATTGATCCTTGGTCTGGTATGTTTCCCTTCTACTAAGGCTCTTTTGGAGACATTACTAATGAGACGGGGAAACAGGACAATGCGGGAAAAACTACACTCTTATATCGACTGAAGGTGTGTCTCCTTTGCAGAGAATCTGGGGATAGAGATACTGATTAAGAACAGATTGGAGAGGTCGTCACAACGATACCAACGATAGGGTTTAATGTTGAGTCTGTCACATACAAGAATCTAAATTTTAATGTCTGGGTATGCTACATCTCCCTCCCTTCCCACACGTTGCCCTCTAACATTCTGGCATAGGATCTCGGGGGCCAAACATCTATCCGGCCGTACTGGCGTTGCTACTACGCCAATACAGCAGCCGTAATCTTCGTCATCGACTCGACCGATATCGACCGTCTAGGCACAGCTTCAGAAGAATTAGCAGCGATGTTGAACGAGGATGAATTAAAGGACGCCGCGTTGCTAGTGTTTGCGAATAAACAGGATCAGCCTGGGGCTAAGGGCGCAGGGGAGATCAGTGAAGCTTTGAAGCTGGGGGAGTTGAGGGATCGGAACTGGAGTATTGTTGCCTGTAGTGCGGTGGATGGGAGAGGTGTTGATGAAGGAATGGATTGGCTTGTGGTGAGTTTTCTCAACTCGATGGGTGGGAAAGATCTCGGAAGAACAAGGCTAATTGAACAGCAGCAAACCGTGCAATCCGAATCATAAATAAGAGAAAGGCTGGCAGAGCAGGTTGTATCAGCACCACGCCTACCATTGGGTAATTTGATTAGAGTATAATAGCACGAACTCATCATCATGGAAGGCGTTGAGAGGAAAGCGAAGACTGATAGCAGGCCCTTTGGAGCTCGTGGTCAGTCAATGATGGAGTAATGGGGTTATGTAGATGATATTACACGACATAAGCCCAAAATAGGTTGGGCATTTTAGAACCATCATAAAGAGCATTTTGCGTTTTGCAATCTGTCTTTCTTTTCAAACTTTACCGTTTAATATATCTACCAAAGACCTTTCGTATGGTTGCGACTTATGTGTAACAGAGTTTTCGGGCACCTTTGGATTGACGCCGGTTGCCGGACAATGTACTCGGTCAGTACTGTTCCTATTTCGGCTCCTCAAAGTCCTCGGAGATGCTTTCGTCAAGAAGGAACGAACGATGAGAAAGATGCCCGACACCACCGAATAGTAACCAGCCGAGGTTTTAGTAATAGGAGACTCAAGTGTGGAATATCGGCCCCACCCAAACTCCCCGAGATACCGTACATACTCTGGATTAGTTCTGGAGCGCAAGTACTCGTAAGGGCTAGATGCAGAGCTCGCCGTCCTCCACATACAGATTGCCACGACCACGACCTCGACCTCCGTCTTGTTGGATCATTCTTTAGCTCCGGAGTGAGGTGGGAGTGGGAGTCTTGCTGCAAGGGGAAGCAACTTTTATCCTCGTACATTATGCGAGTCATCATCGTCATATTGTGCTTGTGTGTACCAGGAGACAATACAGTCCTTTCGGATAACGATTGTTTCCCCCTTCTTGCTCCTTTTTTTTTTTTTGTTTTTTTTTTTTTTGTATATATTCTAGCTCGGAGTTTCTGCGTACCTATGTATGCATCTATCAAGTGTAGAATGCAATGCAGTCAGTCCAAAGAGAGCTTCGAGTAATTGTCAGACACCTCCCCCAAAAATCAGGTCTTTACCTGAGAATTATTAGTATGGATGGATGGTGGTGGATTACAATATGGCTTACTACTCGGGAGTTCTAGAGCCAGCCAAAACTGATACGAGTACGGAGTAGGCTTCGCTCCGTACTGTACTGATGCTCAAAAGATTTCCAATCCCACAACGTCATGCGGACAGGGGTCTGCTTGCTAATGCAGTTTGCCCTATACACGCATTCTTATTGGCCCTTCCCACTTGCCACCAAGAGTTCCTCTGGCAATAGCTTACTCGAGTAGTACTTTAATACTTCTTTCATCCGCTTTATCAGCTTTCCTTTTCAACCCTTCTTAAAGATACCCGTTGTCTCAGACCATCGGCAAAACTCAATTACAACGATCAATACATTTACTTTTTTCCATCTGGTCAACTCCGCACTTCACCACATTCCTGCAATAGTTGATCTATAGCAATCATGGTCGCCGATGACAAGCCCGCGTCTACGTTCAAGTATTCTGAGAAACCTTTGTATACCACTTCCAATGGATGTCCAGTCGAGAATCCCGAGGCTTTTCAGAGAGTTGGTTCAAATGGGCCTCTTTTACTCCAGGACTTCCACTTGATCGATCTGCTTGCCCATTTCGACCGGGAACGTATCCCAGAGCGTGTTGTGCACGCAAAGGGTGCTGGAGCTTACGGACGTTCGTCTAAACCCTCCAATTGATCTTACAGAATGCTAATATATCATAGAGTTCGAGGTCACACATGACATCAGCGATATTACCTCCATTGATATGCTAAGCAGCGTTGGCAAGAAGACTCCTTGTGTTGCTCGATTCTCGACTGTAGGTGGAGAGAAGGGCTCCCCTGATACCGCTCGTGATCCTCGAGGCTTCTCCATCAAATTCTACACTGAAGAGGGCAACTGGGATTGGGTGTACAACAATACGCCAGTGTTCTTCGTCCGGGATCCTACCAAGTTCCCGCTATTCATCCACACACAGAAGCGAAATCCACAGACCAACTTGAAAGATGCTACCATGTTCTGGGACTACCTCTCCACCCACCAAGAGGCAGTGCATCAGGTGATGCACCTTTTCAGCGACCGTGGTACCCCTTACTCTTACAGACATATGAACGGGTACTCTGGCCATACTCAAAAGTTCACCAAACCTGATGGAACCTTTGTGTACGTGCAAATCCACTTGAAGACCGACCAAGGGAGCAAGACCTTTACAAACGAGGAGGCTGGCAAGATGGCCGCAGAGAATCCAGACTGGAACACCCAAGATCTCTTTGACTCGATCCAAAAGGGCGAATATCCATCATGGACCACATACGTCCAAGTCTTGACACCCGAGCAAGCCGAGAAGTTCCGTTGGAACATTTTTGACTTGACAAAGGTCTGGCCACAAAAGGACGTCCCATTGCGGCCATTTGGAAAGTTCACCTTGAACAAGAACGTCGAGAACTACTTTGCCGAAATCGAACAAGTTGCCTTTTCGCCATCCCACCTGGTAAGAATAACTGCCTCTTTGATTTTACCGTACCCCCTTCTATTATGTTTCGTCTCATGTACTCTAAATACTCCTTACACATTTCCTAAAACAGGAACTTTCTCTTCCTCTGCTCTCAAAACACTCTTGAAGAGGAAATAACTAACTCTCCTGTCATATAGGTGCCTGGTATTGAGCCATCAGCAGATCCAGTCCTGCAATCCCGTCTATTCTCATACCCAGATACTCAGCGTCATCGCCTTGGTGTCAACTACCAACAGATCCCCGTCAATGCGCCAATCCGTGCATTTAACCCCTTTCATCGGGATGGCGCGATGGCCGTGAATGGTAACTATGGCGCAAACCCCAACTACCCCTCGTCCTACCGCAGCCTGACCTACAAGCCCGTCAAGCCGACCAACGACCACGAAAAGTGGGCCGGTGCAGCCGTTATGGATCTCTCGGAAGTAGTTGCAGAAGACTACGTCCAAGCCAAGGGTCTCTGGGACGTTCTCGGCAAACAGCCCGGCCAGCAGGATAACTTTGTCGGGAACGTGAGCGGACACTTGAGTGCTGCGAAAGAGGATACGAGGAAGAGGACGTACGAGATGTTTGGGCGTGTGGACGAGCAGCTTGGGAAGAGGATTGCGGAGGCGACGGAGAAGCTGGCACCGGCTCCTGGCAGTCAGGCTGCTGGATCGGCTCAGAGCCAACTCTGAGTAACCGGATGAGGTATGAAAGGGGGGCAAGAAACAGAAACAATAACAGGATATGCTTAATGAAGGGTCCTCTAGACTGACTAATGATAATGAGTGGAATACCCAATGTGCAAGATTCTTCTCCCTTCTCGCCGGAATGTGAACCCCAGTCTTCAAAATCCGCGCATAGACGCCATATATACT